AAAACTAATTACCAACTGCTATGTTTCGTGGGACATCCTGTACATTAAAATCTATATAATAAAGCTATATATATATATATACAGGTTTACCCACAAAGGATGAGACTGTGAAGACGACTTGTAATGCTTCAAGTTTGACGATTCCAAGTTTAAATTAAGTCTTGTGCCTCGAATGTGGTCTATAATGGCTTATTCAATGATTTGGCAAAGTAGGGAAGTAGTTTATAGTAGCAGGGAATCATATGAATATAAGGAAACAGGCAGTATATAGTATGTATAGTAGCAGGGAATCATGAGAATATTATGAAACAGACAGTATAAAGTATGTACAGTCGCAGGGAATCATATGAATATTAAGAAACAGACAGTATAAAGTATGTACAGTCGTCTCTGACCCTGTATATAGCGGAGACCATAATACTGAACCAGACTCAAGTTCATCATTTAAATAGTCAATTGTGCAGTGTACGCAGACCCATTTCTCTTTATATATTTGATAGTCTTATACTGGTAAAACTATTTGCAAAACTATGCATAAGTTAACAATTTCAAGTATGTAAAAGATCACATAAATGTCGTCTTCATTTTTCACAGTTTTTTTTGGTCCAACTATATATAAGTTTTAAGTGCTGATTGTGCACTGTACAATACATAGTAAATTTGTGCACTGTAAATTTGTGCACTGTACAATACATCGCAAACAACCCTGATTTTTTTACGCAAGATAAATAATTAAAGTAAGTAATTAAAACAAACTTCTTGTTACTTCTAGGAGTGGAGTCGATATGATTTTAAGAGTGGAGTTCTCCAGTCTCTCCGAAGTTTAGGGAAGAAACTTATTGTAATTTTGCTCGGAGAAATCAAACTATCAGATCTCGATCCAGAACTTAGGTTTGTAAAAGAAAACAAAATTTAGATATTTTTAATTTTAAAAAAAAATTAACGTTTGTTTTGTTCCAAGCTTGCCTGTAGAATTGTTCAGATTAATTCAATCTTGGTCTCTGGACAATATTTTTCTCAGTTCCATGTTTTTCTCTGGTCCATGGTTGTCTCTGGTCCATGTTTGTCTTTGGTCCATGTTTGTCTTTGGTCCATGTTTGTCTTTGGTCCATGTTTGTCTTTGGTTCATGTTTGTCTTTGGTTCATGTTTGTCTTTTGGTCCATGTTTGTCTTTGGTTCATGCTTGTCTTTGGTCCATGTTTGTCTTTGGTCCATGTTTGTCTTTGGTCCATGTTTGTCTTTGGTCCATACTTGTTTTGGTCCATGTTTGTCTCTGGTTCATGTTTTTTCTATGTTCCATGTTTGTCTCTGGTCCATGATTGTCTTTGATCCATGTTTGTCTCTGGTCCATGTTTGTCTCAGGTCTATGTTTGTCTCTGGTCCATGTTTGTCTTTGGTCCATGTTTGTCTCAGGTCCCTGTTTGTCTTTGGTTCATGATTGTCTCTGGTCCATGTTTTTTCTATGCTCCACGTTTGTCTCTGGTTCATGTTTGTCTCTGGTCCATGTTTGTCTCTGGTCCATGTTTGTCTTTGGTTCATGTTTGTCGTCCATGTTTGTCTTTGGGTCATGTTTGTCGTCCATGTTTGTCTCTGGTCCATGTTTGACTCTGGTCCATGTTTGTCTCTGGTCCATGTTTGTCTCTGGTCCATGTTTGTCTCTGGTCCCTGTTTGTCTCTGGTCCATGTTTGTCTCTGGTCCATGTTTGTCTTTGGGTCATGTTTGTCGTCCATGTTTGTCTCTGGTCCATGTTTGTCTCTGGTCCATGTTTGTCTCTGGTCCATGTTTGTCTCTGGTCCCTGTTTGTCTCTGGTCCCTGTTTGTCTCTGGTCCATGTTTGTCTCTGGTCTATGTTTTTTCTATGTTCCATGTTTTTAATATTTTTACAATTATATTTTCAGATGTATTGTGAACTCTGCCACCTTGTTAAACTGGGGGGAACACAAATTCTGGGAGAAGGTAAACTGATTTATTTATAAATATATTTACAAATATTTGATGCTGAATTTTTAAATTGTTTGGATTACAGGGACCTGAGGCCGATCAAGAATAAATAAGATATTAAAGTTTTTAACATAACTTAACCCATCAGATTTTTGGGGTTTCAGGTTCTTAATAAAGTAGCATATTTTTTAAGTAAAACCAAATAAATAAGTAAATAAAACCAATTTTGGAAAAAAAAACTTTGTTTTGTGAAGACAAATTAAATAATTTGATCTGACAATAATATGAGATTAAGTGTTTGCAATGAAATTAGATCTGGACGAAGAAACTAAATCTATTTTGATTTGTCAAATCAGTTTTTATTTTGGAAAATATTTTCCTCCCGGTCCAACTTTATGTCATCTAACATGAAAACTTTCAAGAATAAAATATATATTTGTTGTTTTTATTGCGCAAAACTTGCAATTATAAAAAGCCTGTACCAAAGGGGAAAAAATAACATATTTAGATATGAGTTGTTTATCTAAAAATACCTACAAAACAATTCAACAACAGTCGCATCAAAATCTGATTTTTAAATTCCCATATCTTTGCATCCTAATGGTGTAAACCTTTTATATTTAAAACTCAGTCCATTTAATCTAGCAGAGATAAATCATAATTTATAATATTAAAGGTCTAACAATTTAGAGAGTGATCACTCAGTTCCTTTAGGAGAGTAATCAGTTCCTTTAGGAGAGTAATCAGTCCCTTTAGGAGAGTAATCAGTTCCTTTAGGAGAGTAATCAGTTCCTTTAGGAGAGTAATCAGTTCCTTTAGGAGAGTAATCAGTCCCTTTTGGGCTTTTCTGATAAAAACGCGAAGGTTACATGTTTAAAGAAAGTGTTGGGTAATTCTGACTCTTGGAAACATGTTTTAACGTTTAAATGCGTATGATGTGTATTTTCAAAGTTTTAGGTTTGTAAATTTTCTATTTTTAAGTCGGAGAAATAATTAGATTTTCTTTTAGGTAAAATTCAATCTGCCGGAAAGAGGAGATACAGGGATATCACAATCCACTACTCTACAATCCTATCCTTCTACTCTACATTCATTCAACTCAGTTCTATATCAGGTAGAACTACCAGTACAAGGATTTCCTTTTCTTGTTTAATCCTATATTAGCTTGTACCAGTCCGCATAGTCAACCCAGGCTTTAGTGTTAGGCTGCCTTAGTGCTTTAATTAAAAAGTACTATTAATGATTTATAACAATTCACTATTATTCAGCCTTCCTAATTCTGCTGCACAAACCACATACTGGGTACACTAGACGGGCTGGTATGTTAAAGACTAGACCGGCATTCTTGAACCGGTTCAGAACATGCAACTGTTTAATGGTAATCTATCCTTGGACCGGTTCAGAACATTCAACTGTTTAATGGTAATCTATCCTTGGACCGGTTCAGAACATGCAACTGTTTAATGGTAATCTATCCTTGGACCGGTTCAGAACATGCAACTGTTTAATAGTAATCTATCCTTGGACCGGTTCAGAACATGCAAGTAATCTATCCTTGGACCGGTTCAGAACATGCAACTGTTTAATGGTAATCTATCCAAGAATCCAAGATGTCGTCGTGTATGTCAATAAATCTAAGCATTTGTTAGATCGACTTTTGCGTAGAAATTTTCAAACTAGCAATTAATAGAATTTATGTTTAACAAAAAACATGTTTAGTTGTGTTGATTCTATTATTTTCATGTTAAAACTGTTTTGAAATCATTACGTCAATTATATCTACTAAAAAAGTCCATTTAAAGGAATTAATAATATTCGGGGATAAATTTAAAAAATGAATTGGTTTCCGGATTAAATTTTAGACTAAACCCAGAAATTTGAATATGGTCAGAATAAGAGGAAATGTAAGGATAAGGACAACGTCAAGTTCAGTTTAAACTTTTAAAGAAATATCTTTTAAATTTTCAATATCTTGGGGTTTCAGATTTGTTCAAGGAAAAGTTTTTGACAGTTCTTCCTATTTTCTTATAAATTCCAATCTTCCAACGGTTTGATAAAATCTCCACAGTTTTTTAATCTACAAAATAGTTTCTCATCTAGAAAATTCTAGTCTTTTTAACAACAGTTAAGATTGTTTATTTTCAGACTAGGAAACGAAATTCATGTTTTATAATTTTCTTATCCATATATCTTTGCAATCCGATGGTGTAAACATTATAAATTTCAAACTTATACTAATTGATCTACCCAAATTTGTAATTTGAAATATCAAAGGTCTACGACATCGGGCTGCAAAGATAAAGATTAGCAGAATAAAGTGTGCGACTAAAACTTAATTCCTTTACTTTTCTAATGTTTTAAGCGATAATTTAAATTTTCAAAAACTCCCAAATTGACAGCCATGCAAAGCTTTTGAGTTAGATATGAAGTTAAAATATATATAGCTTGGAACATATAGATAAAAACATACTTGGTAAAACCCACCTTAAAAGGACTTTAGACTTAATTTTAATTGACCCTCCATTTAACAATGGGTATGCTGCAGAGACAGTAAAGTAAAATTTAATCTTTTCCCAGAAAATGTTTCTAGGGTATAATAGTCTTTAATTGGGATCAATTGAATTTACTTCAATAGCCCCTTTAAAGTCATCTCACTCATTTTCTACGTACCAGTACCCCTCTTTAAGAACAACTTTAAAATCGTGAAAAAATGCGGGAATTTTTTCTTTATTTTAATATTTTCAGGTTCCTGACCTTTACGAAGCTAGTCCAAGATATGAATCTGCTCCCGGTCAACCTTCTCTCCGTCCTCTTCTCTCTCCAACCTCTCCGGACGGATTAGTTTCTCCGGGAGGAGTTCTAACCAATCTCCAAACCATCTCTAGGTCCAAACCAGGCTCAGTTTATCCTCCCGCAACCTGTTTACAGAACACCTTCCCTCACTCATCATTCAGGATCCTACACCCAGTCGGTGATCCTTCACGTGATCCTACGCTACTACGTGATCCATGTGATCTTACGCAATTCAGACCTCCTGCGTATGGCACGAGAACACTGAGAAATCAGAATTTGTATTCTGCACAAACAAATCCACGGCACATTGATCATATTTACCAGGTCTGCATGTGATCATTGATCATATTTACTAGGTCTGTATGTGATCATTGATCATGTTTACCAGGTGTGCATGTGATCATTGATAATATAAACCAAGTTTATATGTTATCACTGAACGCAAAATAATCTTTGAATGTTTTAAATTTTCCCCTTAAGTAAGATTAAGATTTTTATTGATCAAATGATCAAACGACAAAGTGAACTTCATGTGATGTCTTATCTTGCCCGAGATTCAAATCAATCAATCAAATAATCAATTCTTCCGTTTTCAAAATCAAGTTTTTATAAAAACTAATTTTTACCTTTTGTAACTCTTCCATCACAATTGGAATTGCGAACTAAACAAAATAAAACTGATTTTTCTATTTTAATCCTTGCAGTACACTTTTTTGTAACAATGTTTGTACAGCATGATAGTGTACGATCCAAGGGCGTACACAGAAAACAATCTAGGGAGGGGGGTAAATATGCGCGAAGCGCAAAATTGTTGTCCCCCCTAGGAGCTCGTAGGGGGCAAAATTTGAACTGTCAATTCAAAACATTTGGCTTCTTGGATACTTTAAAGGTACAAATACAGTCTACTTACAGCTACTACATTATCTCCTTCAATCAAAAGTAGCAGAAAAAAAAACAGCAAACTAACTTTTTATGTTCTTCACTCTTCAATTTAAGATTTCAAAAGTGTGATAGCTCTGAGTTCTAGCCCCCCCCTTTACAGTTCTAGGGGGGGGGGGGAACTGCCCCCCTGTTCACGCCCTTGGTACGATTATTGTTTATTATGAGATAAATTATAAAATAATATAGTGCCAGGCATATATCTTAAATGGACTGTAAGCGAAATTTTAAGAAACCTTCTCAGCAAAGAAGGCTGTGCCAGATTCAGATAAATCAGTTTAAAGGGAACTGGTGTGAATCTGGGAGGGTCACTTGAAATTACGCTTACAGTCCCTTTAACATCTGAGGATGATGTTATAAGGGTTCATTCTGATATCTGTATAATGTTTCCGCCCCAACCGACTTCAAGAGGAGTTGTTCTAACAAAAAGTAAAACTTTTGACCATATCCAATCAAATTATGTAATTCCTCCTTTCTACAAATATATTCAAATATTCAGATGGAAAACCCTTAAATATTTATAAACATTAGATTGAAGAATACAATATTTGTTTTGGTCTCTGGTTTCTGGTTTCCGGTTTTCCAAAGGGGTCGAATCATTGCTGCCACCCCCCCCCCCATTCTATAATTATTAACGTTTCTAACTTTATAAGCAGAATTGAACATTTGATTGATTGATTATAAAGATGCATCTATCTATCTATCTGACTAACTATGCAGAAATAATGATACTTTGTGATTTATTGTAGTTTTATTGATTTATCTAGTGATTAATGTAATTAATGTAATTATTGTAATATTAATTTGACTCTATGTAAGAAATCTTTACTTGTTCAAGTGATTCTAGTGATTGGAGAGAAATCAAGGTTTGTTACCAACCATTTGATTTATTTATCAACCATTTGATTTATTTTTCAATCATTTGATTTGTTCATCAATCACTTGATTTATTAATCAATCATTTTATTTATTTATCAATCACATGATTTAATCATCAACCAATTGATTTATTTATCAACCAGTTGATTTATTAATCAACCAATTGGTTTATTCATCTTTCAAATGATTTATTCATCAACCAATTGATTTATTTATCAACTAATTGATTTATTCATCAACCAATTGATTTATTCATTAACCAATTGATTTATTCATCAACCAATTGATTTATTCATCAACCAATTGATTTATTCATCAACTAATTGATTTATTCATCAACCAATTGATTTATTATTGATTGTTCGATTTAAGAGGCTGTTCCTGAAATACAAAGGAGAGTGTCGTATACCTCATAAACAATCCTCTTAAATAACAAACCTTGACCCAGATTTAGATGTTTTATATTCATTCAGAAGTTAATTATTCATTCAGAATAAATGTGGTTTAATCTTTCACCTTGTATTTTCTTTATATTTGAACCATAAAGCAGTTTCAGAGAATATTCCGAGTTATTGGGAAATAGGACATTTTTTTCAAATAAGAGCGCAAACTAGTGTTAGAGTCGCTATAAAAAGTCACATCTATATTTATGCAGGGATATCCGCAAAGAATGAGATTTTAGAGACGACTGTACGAAATTTATATTTATGTAGGGATACCCACAAAAAATGAGATTTTAGAGACGACTGTACGAAATCTATATTTATGCAGGGCTATCCACAAAAATGAGATTTTAGAGACGACTGTACGAAATTTATATTTATGCAGGGATACCCACAAAAAATGAGATTTTAGAGACGACTGTACGAAATTTATATTTATGCAGGGCTATCCGCAAAGAATGAGATTTTAGAGACGACTGTACGAAATTTATATTTATGCAGGGATATCCGCAAAGAATGAGATTTTTGAGACGACTGTACGAAATCTATATTTATGCAGGGATATCCGCAAAGAATGAGATTTTAGAGACGACTGTACGAAATCTATACTGATGTCTGTTTCCATATAATTATGGTTTCCTGCTACTTCAATCTTGTTTTCTTCATTTTCAAATTGATAAATAAGCCATAGCATGACTTTAGTCTAAGCTTAATTCATTCTTGAAATCTAAAGAGTTTCTGGTCGTCTTCACAATCTCATTCTTAACGGGTAACCCTGTATAAAAATATAGAATTCCAGGCAAAGCAGGGTCTCCAAACTGGTATTTCATAAGTAGCTTGGGAACCCAGCTTTGCCTACAAACTAAAATTTCTCTATAAAAGTTAACGTTCACAAAAGCTGAGAACAACATTATTGAAGTTCTACCGAGTTCTTCAAATTATAATAGAACATACAAACTAACAGAGCATATTTTTTTCTCATTTTTCACATCGAGAGAGAATAGAAAATTGTGTAAAGTTTTGGTTCGGAGTCGCAGTTTTTATATTTTGCTAAAGTTCAAAAATGTTTTCCTAATTTAGTTTAATTTATACTTTAAAAAAAATTATTAAGGATTTTATACGTAAATAAAAGTGATCCTTGAGAAAGGCCTGACCTGGTTTATATCGCTACCCTTTAACACTCTATAACAATGTGTAAGATATCTTCGTTTTCTTTCTAAAACAGGGCTGAATTGTGAAAATTTCCTCTATTGTTTCTACAGCATACATCCACAAAGATACAAAATTTCAAGAAACAATATTTTTTTGTTCGATAAATTGAAATAGTTCATTAATCCTTGGTCAGAGAACGGTTTATAGGGTACCGTTGTGAATGAGACATGTCATTCTTTAAATGAAGGGTCAATAGAAATTTCATCTTCCCTCTTCACTAAAAGTCCCTTTAAATAACTAGGGGGATTCTCACAAAGGTTCTATTTAAGCGCACTTTCGTAATTGGCTTAAATACAGTCCGTTCAGCAGTGTGTAACTTTTTTCTGCCTACACTCTTATTAAGCAAAGACATAGGGATCCTAGCCTACTAATTTTTAGTTATAGTCACACAACCATGCATGAGATTATTTTAACGGTCAATTATGATTATGACGACCAGGATGATTGCTCGTATTTTCTAACAAATTTGTTATATCCCTTTCATTCTGTCCGTAATTTCATAAAAAGAATATTCGTCCTTTTCTGGCAGTTTTCGGTAGCTTACGGTACCTTACAGTAGTTTTCGGTAGTTTAAGGTAGTTTACAACGTACTACTGTAGTTTGTGGTAGTTTGCGGTAGTTTTCGATTGTTTCCGGTAGTTTTCTGGTATTTTTCGGTAGATTACGGTAGTTTATAGTGGTTTTCGGTACTTTTCGATAGTTTCCGGTAGTTTTCGGTAGAGTACGGTAGTTGCAGGTAGTTTTCGGCAATTTACGATAGTGCCCGGTAGGTTTCGGCAGTTTACGATGGTGCCCGGTAGGTTTCGGCAAGTCTAATATTGCAGTGAAAACTGAAAACTAAGTATCTATATAATAATTAGTCTTTATGGTTGATTTTCAATAAATCGGGTTCAATAGAAAGTTGAGTAGATGTATCATTGATTTTAGAGGATTTGATCGTTTTTCCAATGAAATTTGTATTTTCAATGAAAAATGCATTATTAATGATGAAAAGAATTTTCTCCCTTACCTCAAAGAGAATTTTAAATGCAATAAATGAAACATATTCTCTTAAAATTTTCTTTAATGGAAAATATTTTGACTAAAAATTATATATTTCCTGAATGTAGTTATCCATCTTTCTAGCTATATCTATCTATCTATCTATCTATCTATCTATCTATCTATCTATCTATCTATCTATCCATCTATCTATCTATCTATCTATCTATCTATCTAAATTTATCAGTTTGGTCTTAACAGAAATCTTGGCAACTTGACACATTTTTAGTTCTTTAGCTTTTATATATATTTTTCTTATTTTAAACTTGTTCATGTCTGTTTGCCTTTTCCTTTTAGCTCTTTTTCTTTTCCTTTGTCTTCTTATCTTATTTTATCTGTTTTTCTACTTTTTTATTTTGTTTCTTTTATTCATACCTGTTGTAGATCTGAAAGTGGAAATTTTAATTTCTCTAAATGTTGCGGATTTTTCTGTTTATTTTAGTGCATTTTCAGGGCAAAATTTTTACCTTTGTCTATCCATAAACCTTCCCTAGGATCATGGGATTTGCCAAAATAAATATTGGCCCGATCGGTTCAGCCGTTTTGACATTTTAGAATATTTTAAATATGAAATTCAGAGTATAATAATAATAATAACAATATTTTATTTTTTAGAAACGTTTTAACAGATTTCGAAAAATGTGAGTGGTGCGCGGCATTCTTAGATAGTTGCGCAAGCGACAAGAGAAATAATCAAATTCAAAACAATGAAATTAAAACATATTATAAAATATAAACTATATACAAATGTGGCGAAAGATAATCGATAACTATAGGTTGTAATATCTGAATGATTTTTTTTAAAGTAATTGATTTTTTTTACGGTCTAAGTCACATGTTGCAATTTTCTCAATTTGCATGAGCGCTAAGTTATTCGGTATGAGACGTCTTTAACAATTTTCTCCTTATAGACGCAACAGATAGAAATAAGATTATTAGCAATCAAAAGCGCTTTTTTATCGCAATAGGCCTATACCCCCTTTCATTTTTTGCGAACACTCCCTTTAAGTGTCTCATTATTTGTGTCTCACCCTGTCTTTCTTGTATTTAATCCTTCTTCTGTATACTCACCCTGTATTTCTTGTATATAATCCTTCTTCTTTATACTCCCCCTGTATTTCTTGTATATAATCCTTCTTCTGTAAACTCACCCTGTATTTCTTGTATATAATCCTTCTTCTGTATACTCACCCTGTATTTCTTGTATATAATCCTTCTTCTGTATACTCACCCTGTATTTCTTGTATGTAATCCTTCTTCTGTATACTCACCCTGTATTTCTTGTATATAATCCTTCTTCTGTATACTCACCCTGTATTTCTTGTATATAATCCTTCTTCT